GTGAGTTCTAGTCCCACTTTAGGCATAAAAGCCAGCTGGGTGACTTTGGGCCAATCACCAGGAGATTGTGAGTTCTAGTCCCACCTTAGCCATGAAAGCCAGCTGGGTGACAGTGGGTCAGTCACTCTCTCTCTCTCAATCCAACTTGCTTCACAGGGTTGTTGTTATGGGGGAAATAGGAGAAGGACCTTCTGGCAGATATGTTTGCCATCTTGAGTTATTTGTAAAAATGATAAAACGGGATAGAAATGACATCACAAATTAAAATCGAGGAGGATCAAATTCTAACACATCCATCTCAAACCTGGGCGCCCCACCGGACAAGGCAGTCTGGGTCATCCCCTACCTTATCCAGGGTCATGTCTGGAAGGTTGGGCGTAGCATCGTTGCTCTCACTCCCCTGCTCAGAGATGGCGTCAGAAGCCTCATAGCCATACAGTGCCAGGAGCTCTTCAAAGGGCATTTCACTATTCTGAGCAACAAGACAGAGTAAGACTTAATTCAGTTCTGGAACTTCCAAATCAGCAACACAATATATATACAGGAACATACAGGTAGTCCTCGACTTTCAACCATATGTTTAGTGACTGCATGGGGCAACATTCATTGAAGAGCTGTCTCGCTCAGCAACAACATTTTGGGCTCAATTGTGGTCGCATACAGGTAGTTCTTGAGTTATGACCGGTAGTGCAGCAACCGTTTGAAGTTCTCACAGACCCTCCCAAGGTATTTATGTCGCAGTTCCAAAGCTGACTTTTGCCCCACTTCCTGAACAGAAATCTTAACAAATTAACAGAGTTGGAAGGGACCTTGTAGGTCATCTAGTCCAACCCCCTGCCCAAGCACGAGACCCTACACCATTCCTGACAGATGGCAGTCCAATCTCTTCTTGAAAGCCTCCAGTGATGGCGCTCCCACAACTTCTGAAGGCAACTTCTGTTCCTTGGGTTGATTGTTCTCACTGTCAGAAAATTTCTCCTTATTTCTAGGTTGAATCTCTCCTGGATCAGTTTCCATCCATTATTCCCTGTCTGGCCTACAGGCGCTTTAGAAAATAGCTTGACCCCTTCCTCCCTGTGGCAGCCTCCCAAATATTATAAGACTGCTATGCTGTCTCTCCTGGTCCTTCTCTTCACTAGACTAGCCAGGCCCAGTTCCTGCAGCCATTTTTCCAGTCCCCTAATCATCCTGGTTGCTCTTCTCTGTACTTAAGAGTCTCAACATCTTTTTTTATCTTGTTGTGACCAAAACTGGATGAAATATTTCAGGTGTGGTCTTACCAAGGCTTTACAGAGTGGTATTAGTACCTCACATGATCTTGATTGATTGAATCCCTCTGTTAATGCAACTTAGGGATTGCTTTGGCTTTTTCGGCTGCCACTGCACACTGTTGGCTCATATTTAACTGGTTTAACTGGTTGTCCACTAAGATTCCAAGATCCCTCTCACAGTTACCACTATTCAGAGTAGTATTACTACTCAAGAGCCTCAGTGGCGCAGTGGTTAGAGTGTCCTGTACTGCAGGCCAGTCCTGCTGACTATCAGCTGTTCAAATCGGCTGTTCCCACCAGACTCAAGGTTGACTCAGCCTTCCATCCTTCCGAGGTGGGTAAAATGAGGACCCAGATTGTTGGGGGCAATTATGCTGACTCTGTAAAAACCGCTTAGAGAGGGCCGTAAAGCACTATAAAGCGGTAGATAAGTCTAAGTGCCATTGCTATGCTATTAAGTCTGTTTTCTCCCAATCTACATGTGTACTTTTGGTTTTTCTTGGCTAAGTGTAAGACTTTACTTTTCTCTACATTGAATTTCATTTTGTTAGCTAGGGCCCAGTGTTCAAGTCTGTCAAGATATAGCTGGATCTTGGGCTGTCATCTAGGGTGTTGGCTATTCCTGCCAGCTTAGTACCATCCGCAAATTTGTTAAGTTCCCCTTCTATTCCCTCATCTAAGTCATTCATGAAGAAGATATTGAAGAGTACTTGGTGTCAACTCTTGAAATGACTCTAGTCCAGCTGAAGCTATATTTTTCTTGCTTCGTTTCTTAGTTGCCATACTTATGGGGGAGGGAGGGAATGTACATTAGGGAATGTAGGATATCTTCCTCCAATGTGCCAGACATAACAACAAAAAGGCTCCTGAGAACCAAGGCCAGATCGACGTGTCCTAGCAACTGCTGAGAAGTTCATCACCTGCTTGGTTGGCTAACGTGACACAAAGCGGGGGCGATATTGGACAGTATCTATTCTTTAATCAGACCAAAACTGCAGGAATTATTCAGTGTTGGTTTAACATTTGACCGTGCCGATATGATGTACCCAATTAACAGGATTGTTGAGGAAGCCAAGGCCTCAGTCTTGAATTGGTTGGGAGCATTACTCGGAAACATGATACTGGGCCCACCTTGTGGCTACTTCCCTCCTTGCAGTCACATGACCACATTTTGAACACTTGGCAACCCTGTGAGCCACAGGGGTGCAGTAATTAGAGTGCAGTACTGCAGGGTACTTCTGCTGCCTGCACGGCTGCCTGCAGTTTGGCCATTCGAATCTGACCAGGTTCAAGGTTGACTCAGCCTTCCATCCTTCCAAGATGGGTCAAATGAGGACCCAGATGGTTGGGGGCAATAGGCTGACTCTGTAAACTGCTTGGGGGGGGGGCTGTAAAGTGGTATATAAATCTAAGTGCTAAGTGGGAAGATGTAGGAGGGAGGGAGGGAGGGAGGGAGGGAGGGAAGGAGGGAGGGAGGAAGGAAGGAAGAAAGGAAGGAAGGAAGGAAGGAAGGAAGGAAGGACTGTGGTGGCACAGTGGTGAGAATGCAATATTGCAAAGTGACTCTGCCCACTGAGTTCGATTCTGACCGGCTCACTGTGAAGCGGTATATAAGTCTACATGCTATTGCTATTGCTGTTGTGGTGGAATCCTCTGGCTAAAGAGAAAGGGGAATAAAAAGGGAGTTTAGTTTGGAGTTGCTCATGGAAGAAAATGACCGAGGCCAGACTACAGGTAATCCTCAATTTACAACCACAATAGAATCCACTTAGCTTTGCTAAGTGAAACATTTGTTAAGTGAATAGCTAGTCGGACAATATTCTTTTAAACAAATTATCAAGAATCAAGAAACCACTTTGACTGATTCATGAAGTTGTTCTGATTGACACTGGCCAGCGTTTACAGCTGTAAGCGTGACCGTGATTTATGATGTTTCTCCTGAAACCAGAAAAACCGCCAAAAGCAAACAATGATGTTTGCTCAATGATTGCCATGTTCGCCTTATGACTGCAGCATAATGCCAAAATAAGGTCATAAAGCCAGATCGCTCATGTGATGATCTGCTGCTTTCATAATCTTCCTTTATTCAAAGAAGATAATATATTTCATTTTTGTTTGGAAATCGCTTCTGGATTTTGTGCTCGTGGGATGGGGGAAAAAAAATGAACGTCTGATTTTGTTTTCGTTTTGCTGGTTAGATAGGTTTGGTATTGTAGAAATGGCTAGTATGCAGGTAGTCCTCGACTTACAACAGTTCATGTAGTGGCCATTCAAAGTTATGGCGACTGAAAAAAAAGTGATTTATGACCATTTTCCCACAGTTACAACCTTTGTAGCATCTCCATGATCATGTGATCAGACGCTCGGCAACTGACTCATATTTATGACAGCTCCACTGTCCGGGGGGGGGATGTCACGTGATCCTCTTTTGCGACCTTCTGACAAGCAAAGTCAATGGGGAAGCCAGACTCACTTTACAACGGAGTTATTGACTTATCAACTGCAGTGATTCAATTAACGGTTGAGGCAAAAAAGGTTGTAAAATGAGGCAAAACTCACTTAACAAATGTCTCACTTAACAACACAAATTTTGGGCTCCATTGTGGTCATAAGTTGAAGACTACCTGTATATGATTGTGCAAAATATAAAAAGGTTGTAAATGTTATTATATTCTACTGTGCTAAAAAGAGTTGGAAGTCAATGCTTCTTTTTTTCCCCTTCCTACCCCATATCTTCTCTTCTTCCCTTTTTCTTCCCCCTAGTTTTCCATTACTTTTGATTTTCCTTTGTATTTTATATTTTGATAAATAAACTAATAAAATTTTAAAAATTGAAAAAAAGTCATCATGACTTACGATTTTAATTGCCAGGCTCAATTATGGTCAGTTTATTTATCTGTATAAATCAGTTAAGGCTATCCGTATAAGAATACACAAGTTTTTAACATGCTCAAAAACTTAAATTGATGACTTCCCTGGGTAAGCCGCAAAGGTGCTTTTTCAAGATACAACTGGACTTTCTTGTTTTTTCTTTGAAGATATTTTGCTTCTCATCCAAGAAGCTTCCTCAGCTCTGACTGGATGGTGGGGAATGGAAGGATTTATACTCCTTGCAGACGTTGTTCATGCTGATCATTTGCATTCTTTCTAGAGAGTCGTTGAGGCCACTTGGAGGTTTATCTGTGTCCTCAGGGTCACCTGAGTGGTGCTTGTTAGGAATGTAAGTCACCTAACAGCTATTTGGGTTAGAAATATATAAACCAGGACAACCATTTTAATACTGTATCTTTAAGAAAATGCAAAACTGTAATTGGGTGTGGTTTCTCAAACGGCCATAAGATGGAGCCAGAAACCTGGTTTGTCTTAGTCTTAGTGTCAGAAGAGAGTGTGAGTAAGTCTCTGTTTCCTTCTGTTGGAGAGTATTGCCGTTCCTCCATTCTTCTAATTGACTGATATTCTTGGATTTGATGTAAGTATGATACCGAACTGTTTTTGACACTGGAATTGAAAAACTGACTGTGAATGACTGCTTATTTTGAACTTTGCTTAAACCTTTATTGAAAGTAAAACCCTACATTTACTGTACGGTGTATCTGTGTGCTGTGTGTGTATTATTCAAACACTTCTCTCATATATGTCTCCCTGTATGCTCTCATTCTCCTAATAGGGAATTACCTCAACACTGCTCCTGGTTTTTGTAGTCTGCAATTTTTTCCTCTGGGAATCCATTCCTACTCCCACCCCATTCAAAGGGTGTTCATCCCAAATTGTATAGCTAAAAGTCTGTAGAGATTCTCAGTCATCCAAGTCACGGTTGTCCCAAAGGTGTTTTTGTTTTTTTTCAGGAGGCCACTGAACTTTCTTGTTTTTTCTTTTGAAGACATTTCACTTCTTATCCAAGAAGCTTCTTTAGCTCTGACTAGATGGTGGAGAATAGAAGGATTTATACTCCTTGCAGACACAGCTGGTCATTTGCATTCTTTTTAGAAAGTCATTGAGGCCACCTGGAGGTTTATCTGTGTCCTCAGGGTCAACGGAGTGGTGCAAATGGGCGCGGAGCCTTCTTCGAACTGCTAAAAGGACTGTTCTGTGGACTGGAGATAGATGATGTGGTATCCTTCCCCCTCTGGGGAGAGATGGCTGTTCAACTTTGACATAAATGGCCTCTTTGACCCCTCTTTCAAACCAGGTTCCAAGTGGCCTCAACAATTCTCTAAAATAATGCAAACGACTAGCTTGTCAGCGTTCCAAGTAATAACCCATTGAAAGCAGGACTCTGAGGCAGGTAGATTCCTCTAAGAACATGTTTATTGGATACATATTGGCACAGTCAATGAGAACTAACCCTGAAAGTTCCCACAGTTTTCACCTAATTAAAAGAGTAAAAATCCCCCCTCCCAGGTGTCATCAGTCGCATTGTCCAATGAAGAGGAGCTGGCAGGCTCCTCTCTTCCTTCTAATAGCCATCTGTTACGATGACCTTGGTTCCCACAGGAATTTTTTTTGTTTTGACTGTTAGCTGGGCTACTTCCCCCCTCCCCTTCTTCCTCAGGCTTCATGGCAACTTTGAAGCAGCATAAGATAGCTTCAGCCAGGTTCGCTTCAGGATTGACACAGCTGTCTGCAAGGAATATAAATCCCTCCATTCTCCGCCATCCAGTCAGAGGTGAAGAAATTTCTTGGATGAGAAGCAAAACGTTTTCAAAAGAAAAACAAACAAACAAGAAAGTCCAGTTGCCTCCTGAAAAAAAAACACCTTTGGGACAACCATGACTTGGATGACTGAGACTCTCTACAGACTTTTAGCTATACAATTTGGGATGAACACCCTTTGAATGGGGTGGGAGTAGGAATGGGTTTCCAGAGGAAAAAAATTGCAGACTACAGGAATCAGGAGTACCACTCAGGTAACCCTGAGGATACAGATAAACCTCCAAGTAGCCTCAACATCTGTCTAAAAGAGTGCAAATGACCAGCTATCTGCAAGGAGTACAAATCCTTCCATTTCCCCACCATCCAATCAGAGCTGAAGAAGCTTCTTGGATGAGAAGCGAAATGTCTTCAAAGAAAAGTAAGTCCAGATGCCTCTTGAAAAAAGCACCTTTGGGACAACCCTGACTTGGGTGACTGAGAATCTCCACCGACATTCTCTGGGTAAGCAAAGAAGACGCAAGGATAGGTCTCCAAGCCCCTTACCTGGGCGGCATTGAAACTCTTCTCTATCTCTTCCAAAGGCTTCGCTTTCTCTTCTGCGTGGTCTGGTTCCTCGTCGGCCTCCTCCGCCTTTTCCTGTACTCCGTAGTTCTGGGACAGGATCTCAGCCAGGTTGAATCGGTGGTCAGCTGAGCCCATAGACACCACTGCGTGGGTTTGGGGGGGGGGGGGGGGGGGGGGGGGGGAGGGGAAAAAAAGGCGACCATTAGCCACTTTAGAACTGGATTTTATTTGCTTATTGATAACATTTATAGGGTGCCCATCTTACCTCAAGGTATAAACCTGAATAAACCGGAAATCTATCTAGATCGGGGTGTCAAACTCGATTTCATTGAGGGCCGCATCAGGGTTGTGTTTGACCACAGGGGGGAGCAGAGGGGGGGCATGGCCAGTTGATATCACTTGTGTCGGGGAGCACCTGTGGTGGCCCAAGTACTCTGCCAGTGAAAATGGACTCCTGAGCTCTGTTTTCAGCTAGGATGGCCTCCTGCAACACTCTCCCAGCAAAAATGGAGCTCGGGACAGCTGTACTGGCAGAGGCACCGCGGCCCGGTCCTTTGCTGTTTCCAGGGTAGCCCTGTAGGCCAGATCTAAGCACCCTGCAGGCCGGTTCCGGCCTACAGGCCGGTTCCGGGCCACAGGCTTTGAGTTTGACACCCCTGATCTAGATTATACAGGTAGACTTCGATCTATGATCAAAACTTCCATTGCTGAACAAGACATTTTTTGTGTGGAAAATATTGTAAGTCTTGTTAGGAATGATAGTCACCTAAAAGTTGGGTTGGAAATATATAAACCAGGATAGTTAGTTAAGGCTGTCGTATCTTTAAGAGAATGCTGTAATTGTGATTGGCTGAGGTTCCTCCAACGGCCATAAGATGGAGCCAGAAACCTGGTTTCTTTCTCTTGCATTTCCTGTATTGCCGTTTTGTCTGATCGTCATTCTGCTCAGATTGCTGTGAGTCTTGCAACTGTTAGCAAACTCCATTTACTGAACTTTGTTTATGATACTTGACTTCGTTTTGGGATTATCCCTGGACTGATTGCTCTGAATACTAACTGCTTTAACCGTGTATGATTTGGACTGTTTGTTGGACTTTGTTTACCCGTTTACTGGAAGTAAAACCTACATTTTACTATTCAGTGTATCTGTATGCTGGTCATTGTTATTCAACATCACTCTCACTATGTTTCCCTGAGCGCACTCATTCTCCTAACAGGGAATACCTCAACAAGTCCCTTTTGTTCAGAGCCATTGTAACTTTGAATGGTCACTAAAGGAATAGTTGTTAGTCGAAGAGTACCTATAGAAGAATCGTGAGGATGAAGCTAAACACAACAATTTATAAAATACAGAAAGCGATGACCAAGGGAAATTAGGGAAATTATGCATCTCTGGCAGACAGGAAACCTACATTTGGCAGGCCATGTCAACTCATAAAATAATTCTATGGTCTTTTTAGAGTTGCCAACAAAAAGGGAGGGGGGAGCAGTGTGGCAGCTTGCAAAACTGAAATTGCATTCCATAAATGTTTTCAAAGATAGTAATTAGGTGACTGAAGTTTTTGCCAAGCAAAATTCTAACTGGAGAGCATGATTGATGACTTTGGGCTATGGATGTGTCCCATTGGAGGATATGAATTATGATACGTCCAGGGGATGGGGGGGAAACCAGGGTCAAGGGTGACAATGAATGATGTGTCTCAGAGTTGGCTACACCCAGGCAGTGCTGGACATGTTAACTCCCAATAAATCCTTTTGAAGTTTTGGAAGTTTGGCTCGAGATTCATGAATTAAATTAAATGACAGAATCCTGACAGGCCAACAAAGATTGCGTTTTTCTTGGTATTTATCTATCAACAGGTAGTCCTCAATTTACAACCATTCATTTAGCAACCATTCAAAGTTACAACAGTTCAGGACTGGTCCTCACACCTATGACCACTGCAGCATCCCAATGGTCACGTGATTGCAATTTGCAACCTTCCCAGCTAGATTCCAATGAGCAAACTCAATGGGGTAAGCCGGATTCACTTAATGGCCATGTGATGCACTTAACAACTGCAACGGATATGCTTAAAAACTCTGGCAAAAAATTTCGTGAACGACACCTAGGACCCGAGGAAGAACAAGAAAGTAGAGACAACCTAAATACAAGAAGCCAAGAGGAACAACTCTCCGGGGAAAAAGAATCTGATTCACACTCTGAACCCCAAAATCTTAGAGAAGAAGGGGAAGGCAACAGACTAAGAAAAAGAGAGCCTAGAATAAGGAATGAAACGAGAAATGCCTCACACAGTCAGTGACACTGATAGAGAAATCACTTTATTTTCAGTCAATATCAATGGTTTAAATTTATCATCAAAAAGAAAACAGATATTTGAGAAACTCAAAAAAACAAAACGCTGACATAACTTGTATCCAAGAAGTGCATATTCCAGACAATCAAGCAGACCTCTTAAAGAATATAAATTTGGTTAAATGTACTTGGCACTTGCAAAAAAAAAAAAAAGGGGGGGGGGGATTGTAGTATATGTAAAGGATTGGTTGCAACATAAACAAATATACAAAGATCAAGAAGGGAGAATGCTCTTTATAGAAATAAATGTAAATCAGAAAAAGATGTTATTAGTCACAATATATGCCCTGAATACAAACCAAAAAGACTTTTAAAATAGGCTTCACCATAAGGTAATAGAATTTGAGTATGCTAATGTATGCATTGTAGGAGACTATAATGCAGTCCCAGACAAAGATAAAGATTATAGAACTTTCCCCCCAAAAAAGGAAAGGAGAATACTCCGTCTTTTAATAATATGGTAAGAGAACTTACAGTAACTTGAAAGATGTGTGGAGAGAATTAAATCCAAATAAAAAACAATATACTTTTTTTTCGAACCCCCACCACTCTTGGTCCAGAATAGGTCAGATATGGATGGACCCTGGGTTAATGGAGAATATTGAAAGGATCGAGATTTTGCCAAATCTATGGGCTGACCATAATCCCATTCAAATTAAATGGAAAGGAAAGAGAAAAAATGGAAGATGGACATTTAACAATACCATATTAAGAGATAAAGAATATATTGAAATGATAAAGAAAGAATTGAACGTATTTTTTGAAATAAACAAAAGAGAACATACCTCCCTACAGAATCTTTGGGATACGGCCAAAGCCTACGTGAGAGGTCTAACTATTGCTTACAGTATAAAAAAGAATAAAGAAAAAAGACAGCAACAAAACATATGGAGGGAGAAACTGAAAGATTTGGAAACAAGTAGACAAAAGGACCCAAACAATTCAAACATTAAGAAAGAAATTGATTTGGTAAAACATAAGATAAATCTAAATGTACAGGAAGATTTGGCCCAAAAAATTAAATTAGCAAAACAAAATTATTTTGAAAATGCAAATAAGCCGGGGAGGTGGTTAGCCCATAAAATTAAAAAAAGAACAAGAAAAGAGAACGATCGTAGCTCTCCAAGATCAGGAAGGGAAATTATGCACGCAGATCCAAGAAAAGAAAGAAATTGCTAAGGAGTTTTTTTATGAAATTGTATAAACAGGAAGAAATAGCAGAAGAATATATTGATCAATATTTGAATGAAAAGAACTTGCCTGAAATTACTGATGAAGAGAAACAAAATTTGAATAATAAAATATCTATAGAAGAAATTAGGAAGGCAATTGGAACACAAAAAGCAAATAAGACCCCTGGTCCAGATGGAATTCCTTCGGAATTCTATAAGGAATTCCAAGAAACAACAGAGGAGATATTGGTGGATTTGTACAATGAAGCCCTGGAGAATGCTAATATGCCCAAATCATGGTTGGAAGCATATATTACCCTTATTTATAAAGAACAATCAGACCCACAAAAAATTCAAAACTACAGACCAATATCACTTTTAAATGTAGATTACAAAATAATGGCCATAATATTGGCGGAAAGATTAAAGAGAGTATTAATTAGAATTATCCACACTGATCAGAATGGCTTCCTACCCCATAGGCAAATAAAAACAAATACAAGAACCATTATGGATATATTAGAATATTATGAAGTATAATCAACCAAGACAATGGCATCGATATTTTTAGACGCCCAGAAGGCGTTTGACAACCTGAATTGGAACTTCCTTATTAAACAACTGATAGGCATGAAATTTGGTGAAAATTTTATAGGATTTATTAAGACAATTTATAACATGCAAACCGCCAAAATATTAATAAATGGGGAAAATACAGATACCATAAAGATAAATAAGGGAGTAAGACAAGGCGGCCCCCTAGCTCCTCTATGGTATATATTGGCAGAAGAGACTCTCTTAGTACAAATTAGGCAAAAACAAGAGATTAGAGGACTAAAAATTAAAAAAGAGGAATATAAACTCCAGGCATTCGCCGATGATATGGCATTTATATTAGAAGAACCCTTAGAAGCGAGCCCTATACTACTAAGAGAAACAGAGGAATATGGAAAGGTGGCAGGGTTAAAAATTAACAAAGAAAAAACAAAAGTGTTAACAAAAAACTGTACAAAGGAGCAGAAGGAAGAACTAGCAAATAAATTAGGTATGCAGGTGGTAAATAAAGTAAAATACTTAGGGATCTGGTTGACTGCTAGATGTTCGTTGATTAAAAAAGATAACTATGATAAGTTAATAACGCAAATAGTTAAAGATTTAAATAATTGGGCCAAATTGCAGTTATCGCTATTGGGACGTATTTCGATAGTAAAAATGAATATTTTGCCAAAACTGTTGTTCTTGTTTCAGACAGTGCCAGTCAAGTTGGAAAAGAACTTTTTTGTAGAATTAAACAAATGTATATTTAAATTTATATGGCAGAGGAAAAACCCAGAGTGAAATATAAATTATTATAGGATGCCAAGAAAAAAAGGAGGATTTGGCCTTCCAGATTTTGAATTATATTATGATGCTGCTATAGTAAACTGGCTTAAGGATTGGGTTAAATTAGAAAATAGAAGGCTATTAGTATTAGAAGGTTTTGATCTCCAACTTGGCTGGCATGCCTTCATGTGGGATGGAAAATCTAAATAACATTCATATTTCCAAAGGCACCATGTAAGAAATGTGTTGTTCAATATCTGGGGAAAGATTAAAGAAAACCACTACTCAAAGGTTCCATTGTGGCTATCTACACTGGAAGCAGTCACACATCCAAATGTATTGGATTATGAAAATATTGTCAAGTACAAAGATTTATTATATGATACTGGAGAGCTTAAAAATAGGAACCAAATACAAATTCAAGGAAAGGAGATAGCATGGTGGCCCTTTGCACAAATACAAACCCATTATAAAAAAGATAGAGAACAATTTGGCTTTAATATGATCCCACAAGAATTACCGTATTTGCCGGCGTATAAGACGACTTTTTTGCCCTGAAAAACATGCCTCCAAGTGGGGGGGTCGTCTTATACGCCGGGAGGACTCCGACTCCCACTTCGAGCTTGAGTTGCAGCCGGGAGGGAGGCTGGGGGGGGAGCGGTGTGTGGGTGTGTGTGTGTGTGTGTGTGGCGGGTGTCACTCGCCACGCGCTGCGCAACCTTTCCCCCTCTTCCTTCCTTAGCGGTGTGGGGAGGAGAGGATTCGAAGATCCTCACGTGCGACGTACTTTTCTTTTTCTTTTTGCACGCAGGTTTTGCATGCGGGCGGCTGTAGGTTAAGGATGGGGGAGCCCCCGGGTGGGTTATCAGGTTTTACGGTGCTTCCAACATGTGCGAACGGTGGGAGAGCGGAGAAGAGAGCGAGCGAGCGCCCCGCTGTGTGAAATCCTGCCGTCAAAGCAACACTGGGGGAGGCAGGGTATAAATTTACCAGGTTAATGTAGCAATGGTGATTAATGCCCAGAACATTGTTTGCGGGTATTGGTGTGTGTGTGTGTGTGTGTGTGTGTGTGTGTGTGTGTGTGTGGTGGTGGTGAGGAGAGGTTGTCCTTTGAATGCGGAAAAGTAGGTGTGACCTTGTGTAGGAAAATAAAGAGATCCTTTTTAGCGTGTTTGGCTTCTTTGCCTCCCCTCGTTCGTTTTGACGTGGAGATAATGGCCTTCGGGCGGGAGGGGAAGAAAACGGTAGCTGGATCATTTCAAATTTCACTTACTCTCCTGCCTCACTTCAATATGTCTGAGCGATTCCAGATACTGGAAGACTTTTTGAATGAAAGTGTTACCTCCATTTTTTTTTTTAAAGAGGGCCACTTGGGGAAAAAAAAGATTCTAAGGAATTCCTTGTTTCTTGATTAAAGAGAAGGCATTGAATATACTGTTCCTTGGCAGCCTTTTCAGTGTCCGGGTTTTTGGTGTGTGTGTGTGTGTGTATGTGTGTGTGTGTGTGTGTGTGTGTGTGTGAGAGAGAGAGAGAGAGAGATCAGCTGTATTGAGAAGAGAACGTTTCCTGTGTTCTCATTTTATTTACAACATATTTTACGCTTAATGGTAAGCAATGAAAAATATTTTTAAAACTCATTTCTAAACTCCATAGCTATTTGCATATTCTTGGTTCAAAATTGGATTAGCTCATTTCAAAATTGTCCAAAGCAGAAAAGTGCGTCAAAAAAAAAAAAAGTGCAAAAGTGGAAGGTGTGTGGAAGAGGGGGTAGTCTTATATGGCGAGTATATAACAAACTCTATATTTTGAGTGGAAATGTTGGGGGGTCGTCTTATACGCCCAGTCGTCTTATACGCCGGCAAATACGGTAGATAAAATATGGCTAGGGGAGGAAAAGAAAACAATTAGTAAAACATATAAATATCTTTTGGACTACAAATTAAAAGAAGAAACAGTCACAGAATCTATGATAATTTGGGCTAAAAACGTGGGTCATAGTATTGAATTAGATAAGTGGGAACACATCTGGCAAACAAATTACAAATTAACCATGTCAGTCTCGTATAAAGAAAACTTACATAAAATAGTTCATCGCTGGCACCTACCTCCTGCGAGACTGGCTAAGATGTTCCCCAACCTACCACCCAACTGTTGGAAATATAACTACGCACAAGGAACATATTTTCACATGTGGTGGACTTGTCCATGTGCTCAGAAGTTTTGGAGAAATATTAGAAATTGGATTTTAAATATAACAAAACAAAATTTAAAACTTGAACCCGAAACCTTTCTGCTAAGTATGATAGATTTAAACATGGAGAAAAAATATCGATATTTAATTTTGCACATCATAACTGCGGCCAGAATAACCTACACACAAAACTGGAAACTGTCTTCCATTCCTTCAGAGGATATGGTAATTAAAAAAAATACATGAATGTGCTGAGATGGATAGCCTAACCAAATTGTTAAAAAAATAAACAAGATAGTGACTATTATGAAATATGGAACATTTAGTATGAGTGGTTAAAGAAAAGGTAATATTTGATATTTGGATAAGTTGTGGAAATGACAGAAGACGTGCATTTATTCATAAACTATATAGAGAAATTAAAACATTAAAAGAACGAAGGAGTTATTGTAACAAGGCAGATCACGTCAATGATAAAGATAAAGAAAAAAAAATTAACCATGCTCAATATATGCTGTAAAATGTATATTTGTATGTGTATATATATACACATACATATATACATTTGCTACAATTTTATGCTACAACTTTAAAAGCACAACTATAATGACGTGGGAAAATAC